AAAGCTTGTGTTAGGTAATAATTTGAAATGTTGTCCCAAAACCCCTAATAGTGCAAAGGAAGATGAGTGGTCCTTTTATTTAATAACCAAAGGTATGGTTATATGATGAGGAATTCTTAGAGGTTAGTGGGACTTAATAAAATGTTTTTGGGCTTTAATTTAGTGGTGGTGTTGGCAAACACTACTAAGGATGAAAAGAGATTTAATGGAAATCAAAGAAGGGATATTAGGGGCTTGTGTTCCCCCATATTTTAGTCTTAAGGATGCTAAAGAGTGATTATAAGATGATCACTCATGGATAGGATGGTTTAGTATTGGAGAGACAGGGCAATAGTATAAATAGTTTTAGACTATTAATAAAATAATAAGAATAAACATGACTTTAGCATGAAAGGTTTGTATGTCTGTGGTACTTTTGGGTGTTTAAAGTGGGATTTAGACACATGAAACGCTTAAACCAAGTGTGAAGAGAATGTGCATATGAAACCACCTTTGGGGTATTAATGAGTAACTCAAGCCAGAATAAAAACTGATAAAGGTTGTGAGTGAAACTTTTCCAAATGGTCAACAATATAATTAAGTGACTAAAGTATAGTAGCTAACAACTCCTTAAACTCCTTAATAGACTTCTATATTCCTATCTTCAATTATTTCTTTGGGTTCAAAGCTACTATCCTTCTTTGTAAGGTTGTTAGACCTTCAAGCCTAAAAAACTTTATTTCCCTTTTTTAAACTCTACATCAGTCTTTGAGAAGCTAGACTAAGCTGAGCATAAGTAGCAATAAAAATCCATAATTGCATGGGAAAACAAAATGCATGAAATAGCTATTGGAAGATAAGTCTTCCATAGTAAACTTGACCTGTCAAAGAGCACTTACTATATTGTTTACTATATTGTCATGCAAGAAACCTTTTCTTTTGTGGGTGTTTGTCACAATGCAATTTATAGCTATATTGCATTATACTCCCTCTATGTGAGGCTCATTTAACTTTTCAAGGTTGTGCCATTTACTCATACTCAACTTAATCTCTAACTCATCCCTAGCCGGCCACAAGCTTCTACTTCTATTCTTTTGTTTCCATGCTTTAGCCCACAACTCAATATCTTGACATCTTAGACCATATCCTTATCTAAACTCTACTTGGGACTACTAAGTTCCTAATTAGCTATAAGTTTCTACCACCTTCCTTCTTCTATCCATCTTTCCACTCCATCCCCCAACTAATCCACATATTGGGCACTTCTACTCCATTCCTACCTCTATTACATTATCGTATACATACTACCTTGTGAGACTTATATTGGTCCTTAACCAAGCTATTGTTGCTGGAAAATGCTTAAACAAGAATCCTTGTAGATACCGGAATCTTAGTGCTAGCTTGGGCATCTACTCCATGACTGCAACTTTCTCCTAGTCCTCAAATTCTTATAAACTTTCTACTACCACTATTCGTCTTTTTTGACAATAGATCATTGTCATTCATGTCCCCTACTTGAATCGAATCTATCAATTTGACTCCACATTTGTGACAAACAGAGTGCAGTCTTCAAGTCCACATTGTGCAAATGCCTTGGAACTTTGTTACATACTTTCTCTACTCCTCCATCTTCTACATGCATGAATCTCGCTCGGGCATTTGCCCTGGCTTGGCCCTCTTTTGGCTCGACCAGCCCATCATTGAGAGGCTGAGTGACTCAAAAAAACTCGTCTGTGAATTTCATCAAGGGAGTCTTTCAAAGAATTTGAGTTGTCTGTCCTCAACCAAGAAACCTTGTAGACTCGTAAACTCTTCTTCCCTTGTGCTTGAAGTTGCTATACCTCTTGATCAACTTGGTTCATGTCCCACACTTAATGTTGATCCATGGCATTGCAAGATACATGTCAATCTGTGGGGCAAATCCTTTGGAAGAACTTCAATGTCATAGAATTGATATCTAGCTCTTTTGCCATCAGGCACTACCACTTGTCAAGGCACTTGGTACAGCTACTACTTGCCGACGTTGTTTAGCCTTGTTGCCACTGCTTAGTGCCATTGCTTGGTGGTGCTGCTGCTTCGTGACTCTGCTACTGCCGTAGGACTTTGGAGCACCATTTGTGCTGCCACTTGAGCCTCCCTCCTAAATCCCACTTGTGTGCTGTGCCATGGTCCACACCGATGCCCTGGCCACTATGCTCCCATGCCCACCATGGTCGCTGCTGCCCATCCTCTCGTGCTCTGCCATGGTTGCTGTGGCCTCTCCTGTGCTGTGGTCCCTGCTCGCCCTCACTGCTTACAGCCCTAATCGAATTTCAAAACAAATTTGTGTACTCATTAAAAGTAGGCTTAAAAGTGGTAAGTAGCCTTGTTTATTCTTATTACCATTTTCTAACATTTCATTTTCTGATATTAAAATATATTTATAAGGAAATTTATATAATATTCTCTATTTATTTTCTACAACTATTGACTTCCCTTCTAAAAAGAGTCTAGCCTGAAAAACTGATAAGACAACACAAGTGACAACATTATATTTCATCTAATTCTTATGGTTAAGACTAAATATTATAATAGTTTTAATGTTGAGGCGCATGGCAATTAATCCAATAGCGAGAGCTTGTGCTACTCACAAGGTGGGCAACAATTGAACTTGCCGCTACTAGGCCATCTATAACAAGGCATCCCTTGACTGCTCTTTTGGCATTGACTCCAGTGTGACAACCAAAGAAAAAACTTCATCTTTTGTGTCACCAGCCCTTGGCCTTACTTGAAAATGGACAATTTAATACATCACGAAAAGTTAGAATTGTCATGAAAATCATCACTAAGCTGCAAGGCTGAGTCACCATAGAGTTTTGGTATTGTTTTCTTGCCGTGTGAATGATTCCCTTACGTGGCATCTGGGGCTATAGTGCATTGCAGCACCCTGACACCCGCACCATAAGATTTCTCATGGTCCTTGCAGCCAGACGGGAAAATCCAATGGCCTCAAGTGTTCTGTGAATGTATGAGAGAGAGAGAGCTTAGTGTCGGTGATGTTTCTTTCCTGAGGCTTCTACAGGTCCTGCCCAAGCCTTGGTTCTTTGGAGCTGCATGTAGGCATGATTAATGCTCAAGGCCTCACAGAGCCCTCATGAATTGCTTTAATTTTCTAGTTAAAGTAAAAATATTCATTTGCTAAAATACAAATTAGCTTTGTGATAATTGTTTGTTAGTAAGTGTGTGTGTGTATGTGTGTGTCTATATATATATATAAACTTTTTAGATATTGTAGATAACAATAATATTAATTATTAATTTAAATGTTTTGTTTCTTCTTATTACCATTTTCTAACATTTAATTTTCCAATATTAAATTAAATTTATAATGACAGTGCTATATAACACTCACTTATAGTTATTTTCTACAGCTATTGAATAAAAGTACTAATTATAGTGTACACCTTAAATATAATATTAAGTATAAAGGGAAATATTTTTCTTATGTCTTTTATTTATATTTCACTTTTATTAGGAATTAGTTTTAGTATAGAATGTACAAAATTTGAATTTGGATATGAAGGAAGCACAAGTCCATCTGATATGCAAATTATTTTAAATGCTATTGATTCTATAATTTCAAGTATTACTCAAGATGGAGTATATCCAGAAGCTTGGTCAAATGCTATTACATTACCTTTATCTATAGGAATAGTTGTCATAAAATTATCACGGTTTGCTGGAAAATCTCCAAATTGTGCATCAAATGGAAGCACAAATAAGATGGTACAAGGGCATACTATTTATGATAGCTTAAGAAATTTATTGGCTTACAACTCTTTTAAAATTTTAAAGGCAGCTGCAAGCTATGCAATAATAACTACAAAAAAGTATCAAATTTATTATAGTCGCGATGGTTCTTATGAACCAGAAATTACCAACACCCAAAATTTAGAAACATTTGAGGATTGTGATATATTTAGAAGCACTCTTTATAGTGGTTTTAAGCATAAGCCTCATCATAATTTATATAAAAATGAATATTTATCATCCCCAAATTCTAATGTCATTTTATTTTACATTTAAACTGTAACTTAGTTTTATATGTAGGGAGAAATAAGTTATGGCAAACTTTAACTACAAAAACAACTATTACTCCATGCTATTTGACATTACAAAATGATGGCAATTTAGTGTTGTATTCACATATTAGTAAAGTTGAATGGTCTATAAATATATATTGTAACCCACAACCAATTTGTATTTCACCAACTTATCTTAGCTTGCAAGATGATTGTAATTTAGTATTATATTCTTCAGTATCACCAAATATAAAATTGTGGTCAACAAAAACAATATGTAGAAAGTAGCATAAATTAATAGTTAGTAGTGAATAAATTAATAGTTAAAGAAATAATGCAGCTAAATGATATGCCTACTGCCTACATTGCGTATCCTCGTGTGAGTGTTCTCGCTCTGGCTGCAGAGTGGACATTTTCACTCCCGCCTACTAAACGGAGCTGTTTGAAGCAGGCTGAAAACAAAGTCGTTGATGGAAGCACGTTCAGACCTCATAGATTTGAGATCCTAAACTCCTTAGCCAGCTCCTCTTGACGCTTCTGGACATGAGCCATAACATCATCCAGCTTCCAACTGAGAACTCTTATCACCATACAAATGCTTGTCCCAGATCTGTGGAGCCTTGATCTCAAATACTGCACTGGGAAAAATCCAGTGCCTGTCAATGTTCTTCTTGCAACATCTCACGTTCACTGTCTGGTGGGCATCTCAGACTCGCACTCGTTGCGAAAAGTTCGTCCCCGAGACGTCCCTGGTCAGGTTCTCCACATTGGACGTCCACGAGATCCGCTGGACACCCGCCATGACAATCGTGGGCGCCTTGGATCAAGTCCCCTGCTAGAGGTGCTACATGACTGGCCTGTAATATCCTAACATTTGGCAAGCTTTTGAAACACCAGCTCCAGCAGGTATAGTGCAACCTCGCAATCGATCTTCTTCGTGCCACTCAACTTGGTCACAGGTCCTAGAACAATCTCCACGAATAGATTGCATAGATGGAACTCCCCACATACATAAAGTTCCCAAAACCATTAAGCTTCCATTATGGCTGTGGTCTGGCTTGGACAATGTAAATCTCCTCCCCTACCACACACCCTTCTATATCTTGCGGGCATCCAAAACTCTTCTCCAAAAACGTCCCTATAGCAGCAAGCCGCTGTCCCAGCGCCACCGAGTACTCCAAGTCCACCGACAGCTTCTTGGTGCTGTAATCCACCACTCTCTTCGAAACCTTGCCATCCGCGACTCCATCTCTCCCCGCCACGAACTCCTCGCTAAAGTTTGCAAATGCCACCAGCTTGACACTGCCATCCACCTTGTTCGCCGACAGCCTCCACGGCGTTCCTCTGGTTCCAGAGGCCAGAGTTTCTCCCAAGCCCGCCGCTATTTCCCCCTGGACTATCTGAGCGTTTCGATCGATCGGATCCACCGTATGCAGGACAAAACTTAGATCCGGAGCCAGAAGTTCCTGAACTAGAACCGCCATTGATGCTGCCTTCTGTGGTACCTTTGCAACCCGCCTGCTAAGAACCGCTCTTCTCGTGTATAGAGAAGCCCACACCCCTGCTACTGCCTTGCAAAAGTGTTCGGGCTCTGATAGCTTCACGTTGGGGATGGAGTCGTAAAGCCCGGCCCCTGACATGCCGGCTAGATCTTCTACGTTGGCGCTGGACCTGACGATAAGTCGTGCGTCGGATGAGAAGCCTTCCGCAATTTTGCTCATCGCAGACTTTGGCAATCTCTGTGACGATACCAGTTCGCGTAGCTGGTTGCAAATCCCATCGAGCTCACCCTCCTCAACCTGAGCTGTTTCCGTTTGCTCTAGCAAGTCGTGAAACGTATCCATACTCCCACTGCTTTCTAATGCCCCCTCCATTGATCCGAAAGGAATTACTAGCCCCGGTGGTACCAAAAACTTGCATGAAACGCCATTGTTTTGTTCTGCAAAGGCAAAAAACTAAAAACTTGCACACAAAAATTGAAATACTTACCTTCAGCAGAGAGCTCGGCCAGCGTAGCTAGTTTCCCGCAAGCGCTCGATTTTGCACCTGCTGTCGCCAAATCTGCATCCTTGAGATCAAGGATAACTCCTGACGAGCTTTTGACCACCTACAAACGTATGTTTTCCCTTCCCAACATCAGCAGGTTGTAGCATAATCTTCTGATCCAAGACTGTCAACCATGGCACATAGCGCTCTCAACAAAACATGTACAACTACACCATTGACAGGGAAACAAGCAGTGGTAACACAGAAGCGAAGACTATACCTTGCTTTCAGAAACAGAGGCTTCATCATGGGCACCCTTTTCTGTTTCTCTGGCCGTGGAGCTTGCTCCCTGCTCCGCTCCTTGAGTCGACACACGAACACCTACAGAAGAAGACTCCAGCCTAAAAAGCTGACGTTAGAACGTAGCAGAAGTGACAACAATAGGCATACTTGATACTTTTACCAAGCAACGACCGCATTTCCTTGATTTTATCGTCGTCGTCGCACGTCACAAACACAACTTTCTCCTGCAGAACCACCGAGTAAGGACTCTGTCTGGATCATATTCTGCAGCATACCTGACGAGCTCGCACACCGAGATGAGACAAATGAGGGAGCTCATGTTGAAGTATTACTCCGGCAACGTTGGGCCCAGCAGCGCGAACCTGCGCTATCGCATCTCATAAAACATTTACTCGAGACAAAACTAGTATTACCTCCTCATCGCCGTCAGCTTGTTTCACCAGAAGTATAACTGGTCCCTCAGCTGACGAAGGCAGTGATCCAGGAACAATTTTCTGGACCTGCAACAATTCACAAATCAAAATAATGCGCCGTTAAAAAGCCAGAGATGTCTTACCTCAAAAAGCTTTCCACACGCAATGCCGGGCATAAGAACATCCCAACCTTCGGTATGTAAAACGAAACGAATAGCCTTCAGGAGCACCGTACATAGCTTCGAAAGCTGGAAAACAACACTGAAGGGGAAAACTAGAATAAAACGCCTCATACTAAAAACGAGTTTTCTACCTGGCCCTGATTTCTGCTTCGGCGTACGTCCGAACCGAATTCTCGGGGATCCCCAACGCATTTCCAAGGTTCTGTAAGATTGTATACGACTTCATCTAAAAGGAAGCATCTATCTTTTACCTGTGCACGCTTTGGATACAGTTTAAGGAGCAAGTCTGAATATGTTTCGGCCATCCGATGCGTTCGATCTAATGTGGCTTTTAATCTTAAACCCCACATCCTGATATCCTCCTCACTCCCTAAAGACCAGCTCAGATTAGAAAACATATATAGAATTATTGACATACCTTTACCGCAAATGCCATCCTTTTCCCAAGTCATGAGTTCATTCTCTATAGCAAGACATTCAGCTTGCTGCCATCCAGACAAACCTAGCTGTCGAATGCCCAGAACAACTCCACCCAGCGGTTGCTTCCATTTGCTAGTACTTTTAGATTGGATTTCTCCGCTCAAAGATTTTGCTCCACCAGAGCTATCCATGGCATTTAGAAATCTGAGAGATTTGCAATGTTCATCAGTACACTAAATCTTATCAAACCATCGTTTTCACCTGCTCAACACGACGAAAAAGTAGTCCTCAAGGCCAATCTCGGAAAGACGCCACTACAAAACAAGAAGCTGACTGATACGCAAATACTCATCTGCAGCCTTTACCTTTTGCCGCATGGCAATAGCATCGTCGGACGCATCATTTCTTAGTCCACTTTCGAGGCCCTTCAAAAGAACAGCCCGAAGTCCCGTCAAAGCATGCATGGCACCGATTAGCATGTCCGAATTTCCACCATCCCCCACTTCGTCCAGTTTCTGCAAGAGTACGTGAGATATTAAAATTTATATAAAAAATAAAACAGAGAATGAACTTTGCACCTTCTTCTTTTCCATGAAATTATCCATCACGGAAAGTTGTTGCTCATCTAGTGATGGACGCAGCCCATCCAAACGTTCAGTCAAACTAAAAAGGCACTATGTTAATACCTGAAATGTGCATAACTAAAGCAACGACTAGTACCTGCTAGCATTGAAGAAGTCCTTGAGCTCACCGTGAAAGATCTTGAGTTGCTCAACAAACGCCGCACTGTACTCTCCCGGTGTCTTGGTCACACGAGCTAATAATGCTTCTGTCGCAACCAAATCTTCCGGACCAGCATTTCTGTGCAGTTTGTTCTGGATTGTATGCTTTATCTCTTGCTACTTTTACAAATACACCACGTCATTAGTCAAAACGAAGTTGAATGTTCACAAATACCTTTAGATCGTGAGGGATATCATTTCTGTGAGCAATATCCCTTATACGTGTCAAAGGAACGGCCGCTGTGAACTCAGCCTTAAATGATGGCAAGCAAGGATGGATATTTCTGATCACAACACGTTCCTAAAAACCAGAACGTTAACCAAGAGAAGTAACTTATGTAAAATAAAACCTCTGTTGTTGTTGTTGTTGTCTTGTCCGAATAAATGCTTTCAAGCTCCCGAAAAATCATCCGCGAGATTTCGGCATGTTTCTTGGGTCGATAATGACCACCATCTTCAAAACATTGTATTTGACCTGTACTTATCCACTGCAGAAACACAAAGAAACTTAGAAGCTCATCCATATTCTCTACCTAGAATCCAGTCTACCTTAAGATAAGTAGAAGAATAAACAAGAGCGTCCAGTCGATCAGCCTTGCCTAGATCATCTGTTAGAAGCTCCCGGACAACTTCCAACTGCACCGCACAGAAAGAAAAAACACGGAATTAGCTGAGCATCTGTTGCATTTAGAAGAGTACCTTTCGCCACCAATTACCAGACTTTTTATCTCCTTCCACGATGCGCAGCACCGCACCATCTAGACCTGCGGTTTCCCATTTCCCTCCTTGCCTGCTCGTGTGCTCGTTAGCTTTCATGAAGGCAACGTTTTTGCCTTGCCATCCTTGCGAAAAAGACATATCACCATCGCTTGAAGCAGTCACGGTTTCCTTGGCCTTCTCCTTTTTATCTTTCTTTTCATGCACGGGCGCCTCGACATGAGCTTCCGCAGAAGCACCGTTAGTCGTCACCACCAAATCAGGATTCTCCCACTGAGACACTATTTCGCTCCCTCCGCTGGGAACGTCTAGCACACGGTTGGGACCTTCCTCCCACGTAAGTCTTCCATCTCCGGCCACAATGACGTACTTAAACTCAGCTCGATCGCCCGGACTCGCCTCAATGTCCGCCACCCAACCGGACTCCGTCCATGTCATGCTCACGTGATTTTTCCAAGACCCCATGAAATCGGCCGAGCCTATGACAGCGTGATGCTCCCCAAACTTGACTTGATGATCCAATCTAAGCCTGAGTTTCACCTTGCCACCGTGACACCTGACAATCATCTTCCCTTTCCTGGAGAACAAAAACCAGAGTATGTGAGCTCATTCTCTCCCTGCTTTGAGAAAATCCGAAGAAATACCTGGTAGCACATTGTAACTGGCAGGATCGGAGCTCATTCCTCCACATTCCCTGGCGGTGCCAAAGCACAACGACGAGGCCGGTCTTCTGGCTGGAAACCCTACCTCGCAGCGCCGGATTCCACACAAACCTCGACTGCGCCGCGATGCAAACTCTCGTGTCGGAGATCGGCCTGACCGCCATCGGCATTGCGCCGGACAGAGAATGCAGCGCCATCGCAGGCGCCTTCACTCTTCCCGCGCCTCCATCCCTCCCAAATCAATCCCTAAATTCCAGAAAGATCGAAGGCAATGAGAGATATTGCGCTTCAAAAGAAATGAGCCAGCATTGGGTGCCACGTGTCGCACTGTGATGGATGGACGTGTTCTTTGTGACAATTGTTTTTTGCTCTAAAGCGACAATAGCATTGTTTGATTCGCGTACCGGTAAACTTCTTATACCGTACCGTTCTTGCTGATCATAGGAAAATCAAAACAAAACAATGAGCTGGTTTCACATGATCATATAGAGGCCAGCGTACGAATGTTCACGGGATAAACATCCTCTAGCGTACCGTTCCACCATCGATGTGCTGCGATGCTATTGAAGGCCTGCGAGGGATGGACCATGTCCCAGAACATAAAGTTGGATGGCTTCTCGCAAAATTCGCCACCGTCGAAGCACCATCTCCACGGCTGGTTGAGCGGGCAGCATCCTTGTACAGTGTTGCTAAATCCTGGAAGAAAGAACCAAGTTTGAGTCACACCACTGGAGCTGTGCTAAGTTACTGCATTGCAATCCAAAAAAGCCAATGAGCAAGCAAACACTGGCACTCAAACAAAAGCACTGAATCACTGAGCTCTTTGTTGGTAAATTCTGGAAGAAAATGCTAAGTTTGAATCCAACCACTGAAGCTGTCCTAAGTTCCTGTAATCCAATCAATGAGCAAGCAAACACTGGAACTAAAACAAAAGCACTGCCATGGAAACGAGAAGAAAACAGTGCGATCACACAATTTTTAAGTGGATGAATGACGTACCGTAAGCGTGAGGATTGGACTTGACTTGGAGCATCAGACCTTCCATGTTGGCTGTGACAATGCGAGCTCCTCTCATGGAAATTCTCAAGCTGTCGAGGACCGACGCGAGGCCGAGGTTGAAAGACAAGGCCGCGTTCATGCCAGCTGAACCGCAACGTCCTAAACGTTGGTTCATTGGTATACATCCCACAGCACTCAGGTTCACAACCACGAACTTCCGAGCTCCCAACCGGTACAGCCTCTAGAAACACGGTAGAAATCACTAGAAGCTCGCGGAGGATCATCAAAAGTACCTCGAGCTGGAGAGCAAATTCCACCAGCAATCCGTCACGAAGGTCTATAGGAAGCTCCGTCCGGAAACGAAGAACGAAATTGTTGACATCGTTGTTGGCAGTGCAAATGTAGAAAATGGAGCGAGAGATGAGACTCATGGCACGCATTGGTCCAAGCCTGCGTACCAATCTAGACTGGACTTCTCGAAAACCATCCACTTGGTTTGCAAACGATAGAACAAAGCCCTGCAAAAAGAATTCGCGAAAGCTGAGTTTGAGGATAGACATCCAAGAAATACGACAACGCTGATCATAGAACTCACTTACTTGCCCCGTCCATCGACCAATCCCCGAGCTGGCGGATCCGAAACTCACACCTTGAGTGATGTTGTCACCAGCGCTGAGATATGGGGGTGGAAATGGAAGTCCCAAGAGCGAAGCTGTGAAAAAAAATCTACACAGGTTAGAGAAATTCATGAAAGTGAAGAGAGGAAGAGAAATCCATGAAAACGAAGATTTCTTACGAACCTAGAAAGTCGGGGATGAGCTTTCCATCGCAAAACCGCCCAGTTGCGGCGTGATTGTCGAAATTGTAGCCATAGGGAGGATGATTTGCCCTCGCGATCGTCGGCAGCATGTTGTTGTTGCCGGAATCGACGAGCGAGTCGCCAAATGCGAAGAGCGCCGGGACGATTTGCGCGCTCGCCATTCCCAGCAAGAACGCGAGCACCACGAGCGCCCACATTGCCGATCCCAGCCACTCTCACAAAGAGACCGCATTCTCCCCTCCAAAAGAAAAGAAGAAAAAAGAAACCCTAGGAGGTTGAAAGAGTGTGAGCTCATGCCTTCTCCATTTACCTATTTCTAGGGCTCCAGTCCAGCAATGGCGAATGGCGCTAGCTTGGCACCATCGAGCTGGGCAGCATTCGCGGGATCCACGACCAGCAGCGCCAAATTCTCGCCTCTGCGCGTTGGATTCTCGCCTAAGAGAAGGATTAGGGCTTTGATCGTCGCGGCGCAGCTGAGGCCATCGCCGGCGGAGTCCGCTCGCACGCTCATGGAGGTTTGCTCCGAGGGGACGCTCTCCACATTGTCGAGCGATGGCTGGCCGATTGGAAGCACAGTCCAATTTGCATTGGATGTGAATGGATGCCCGGTGTTTTGCTTACGTCCACCGACTCTTCATGCGAAGAATTTGGGTGATGATAGCAGGAGTAGCCTCCATGCACAGGTGAGTGATGAGAATTTGCGCCGAGAATTCGATGGTTGTGACTGACACTTGTTTGGCAGCTCGATCAAAATGGTCGACGAGCGCAATGCACGTTGAAAGGACGTATCTCGAGAGCAGAAAAATCAAAGGTTGGTTGGTTTTCTCGGTGTTTTTCTTCTGTTTCTTATTTCATCAAGATGTAGCTCGACACAGTTTGGGAGCGTAGATTTGGGGAGGACTGTCCCGAAGAGCACGATTTGTTCACGATGAACGTGGAGGAAGTTTTCCAATGTCAGGATTTAAGCGAGGTATGCAACACCCTGTTTTGGAATGAGCTGACTGGCTTATCTTCGATAAACAAGGAAGAAGTTTGGGTCTCTGGAGTAGACTACACCGGTGCTGCTTCCGACCCTTTGAAGGATTATGCTCCAAGGATCGTGGAAGACATGAACAAGAAAAACTGGGAAGACATTCTCCGATTTTGTAGAGTGTATGCTCATCTGGAAGCAGAGGTAAAATCTCAAACGCTGAAAGCTTTTCGTATATTGATTATTTGTATGAATTCAGGTCGAACAAGCGAGCCTCACTTGGGTGGATCGACTCGGTTTCGACATGAGAGTTCTAACAAGATCTCCACCACGTATCATGGAAATAAGAATACCTTTCGAGCGGGAGGCTCTGGACGAACGGGACGCTCGCTCTTTGCTGACGATGATGGGCCAGGTTGCATGGGAGAAAGAGCGAAAAGTTGCCATTCCCGTTGCCAAGTGAGACCCTCCCTCTCTCTATCCAAGGTACATATATACTTCTCGAGAATTTCTACCTCTTATAAACTTGAAAGAATGATTCAACTTTGTCGAGCAGCGAGCCTCCATTCAGTGACGGGCAAGACACTCAGCGTGGTCGATCTCATCTTCCACGCATCCAAGTTCTTCACGAAAACCGGTTGCGTTCCATTGTTAAACATGAAGAGGCGAGCCTTGTCACCAGTAGCAAGCGTTGGATAGACGCGAGACGTGATACAAGCGCGTCCCCCTTGCACGAAAGTCTCCACGATGGAGTGATCCACCTACACAAGTTGCATCGCGCAACACCCAAGAAAGGATTAGAGCAAGCTCCGCGCACGATCCAATGCTTACTATGACACGCAACGAGAGCGAATCCTCCGTTGGGAGCCTGTGGAAGAGCGTTCCGTACACGGTTGTGTCAATTCCGGGTTCTAGAGATGATCTGGAAACGTGGGGATTAGAGACGTGGATCGAAAACTTTAGCAAGAAGAAGCTTGCCTGCTTTGGTCGCTGCAAACCCTTGTTTCCCAACTTCCATCTCGTTTTAGTGTCATGTAGAAGTAGACTGCTGTCATCTCTTGCAACTTGTCTTCAGCAAGAACAAGGAGGCCAAAAGGGCCATAAACACCTCTGTGAGTTGCCCCACCTTGGCTGCAATCGTAAATCTCACTCTCTGGAAGTGCGTCCAGCTTGCTTGCATCTGGATACTCAAATCCCACCTCAATGTCAAGCTGCACAAGTGAACAATAAAGGTGGTGAGAGAGATTGGCATCTATTGATTTTTCATTGGTGAAGAAAAAAGGCATCTATACCTGTGCCCCTTGAGCTGCATCAACTTCCACCACATCACCACCTTTGAGAAGCACATTTGATCTGCTCACTTTGTCATGCCTGAGGGCCTCTACCTCCTCAATTGGCCATTGGATCAAGTTGGTGCCAGTCAAGTTGTCAAGATACAAGATCCTGGGCAGTGTCTTTTCATGCAAAGACAAGTATGTGAGCCCAAGTGGAAAAACAAACAATAAAATGGCATTTTACCTGCACCGAAGACCACCCCTTCCTGATATCATCTTGCAGACTGTCTGATTCATTAGCCCATCCCCACAAGATTCTCTTTTGGTGCTTAGAATCAAAAAAGGTCTTAGAGGCATAATACTTACCATAATCATACCTTAGCCCCAGCCCAACATCATTGTCAAGGGCATCAGGGATCCAAGTATGAGAGCTCTCAGAATACAGCCCAATTGCATAGTAGTCATGCTTGTCATCATCCAGGCTGGCCTTGAGAATGTGCTTAGTGAGCTCATTGGTCTGAACTTTGGATGTGTCCAACCCATTGCTGGTGGCAGTTGAGACTGGATAGAAATCAATGCACTCCCACATCCCTGTGCCTTGAACAGTGTGTAGATACTCCTCCTCCAGCTCCCAGTGCAGGAAATCAAAGGTTTTGTAGATGAGAGCCAGTCCAGCCCTGCCCTTTTTGGCACCAATTGCAATTCTCCACAACCCATCAGCCTCCAGCCATGCTGTTGTTGGATCCCTGAAGTCTTTAGGAGCAATCCCTGGTGGTGGCACCAGGATGGGATTCTCTGGGATTTTGATCCATTCTCTCAGGAGTGGATCTGAGGTGTTGAGCGGAAGAGCGAGATTTTGGACCTGAACAGAGGCATTTGTGGAGCCAGTGTAGAGCATGATCACTTGACCATTGGGGAGGATTGTTGCAGAGCCAGACCACACTCCATCTGCATCATACCACTTGTCTGGCTGCATTGCCAGATCCATATGTTGCCAGTGGAGGAGATCAGTGGACACAGCATGGCCCCAGGAGATGTTTCCCCACTCTACCCCATATGGATTGTACTGGTAGAACAAGTGGTAGTAGCCTTTGTGGAAGAGAGGACCTGGTATAGCCATAGAATTCATTGATGTCAGTAGAGTTTTTGAGAAAGATCTTGAGATCTTACCGTTTGGATCTGGTGAGGGAAGAATGTCCAGCAGAG